AAGATATTTTAAAATTCATATAATACTACAATGTAGTATTATATGCCATTCCTTTAAAAACTGGTAATAAGGTCCAGGCAGTAACATTCTAGTTTGGTTGTTTCTGTATTTGGAATCTATCCAAATGGACCAGGAATGACATTAGGTAAGACAGAGCCGGGGGCACTAGCTTTACCTTCCTGGAACTCAGTTGGCATCAGGTAGAGCTTTCTTGGGAGGAAAGATTTCTACTGAGAGTCAATAAAAGAAACAGGCCTTTAGAAATCCAGACTTTAACAACTGAGAGGTTTTTCTCAGTTCTCTCTATACCCTGAGGACCCTCAAATTTCTACAACTTCACTCAAAGTTTGCATTCTTTCTCCCAAGTCTCAAGGTTTAAATGGATCAGACAGCTCTGCAAAAAAAAAAGGTAATATCCATTACTGACTCATCTTTGAATCCTTATCTGCCTAGCACCAGGTTCTGCTCATAGTAATAAAAGCAGTTTTAATATGTATATGGTGCCTTCTTTAACTCTAAGCACTTCACATTCTTTCTTTTAATCTTCACAACAGACACCATTTTGAGATAGTTGTTATTATACCCATTCATGAATGAGGATATGGAAGAAATGAATTTACTTTCACAAAGTCACATAAATAGTAAGTAGCAAAGCTGGAATTCAAACCCAGGCAATCTAAATAGTAAAAAGTAAGCAACAGGTAGCAGGTTAGGACACACTAGAAAACAGAAGCAGAGAGCTACCTCCAGTAAAAATGCATCTTATTAAATGACTACCCAAAAAAGAAATCCCATTTGAAATCACATATCTTCATTATATGGATTATTTTCATATTACACAAGTATGAAAATAATTTAACTGCCTTATATAAAATGCTAGAAAGTGACACCTGAAATAAGGATTTATTTTAATGTGAATTCTTACTCAACTACTTCATTAGAAATAAATTTTCATGTTCATAAATTTTAACCAGATGAAAAATTTTATTCATTCAATTCACTTACTTTATTTTCCTCCAGTTTACAAAACGAGAACCAGAAGATACAAAAAGTGCAGATTCTGACCGAGATGTTTTTAATGAGAAACCTTCTAAAGAAGAAGTTATGGCAGCTACTCAAGCCGAAGGGCCTAAACGAGTCTCAGATAGTGCCACTGTCCACACGAGCATGGGAGATATTCACATCAAACTTTTTCCTGTTGAGTATGTACTGTTTTTGATGTCTTAAATTTATCAGTGTAAATGTGTATGTTTGAAGAAACTATGAACCTTAAAAATCTTGTTATTTTGACTTAAGGGATTTTGAAGAATTGAAATGTTTGATAGGGCATATATCCTGAGCTTTCTTATAACTGTTCCACTAGAAAATGGGCACATTTTATACAGATATATACATAAACAGGTTTTTTATTATTATTCTTATTAAGACAAAGTAAATATTGGCTATGAAAGTGTTAAATGTGAACTGTTGAATCATACACAAATGTATATTACTAATAAATGCACATTCCAACTTTACATTTTGTTGCTCACTTACTGTAACTGGCTTTCCTCTCAAATCAAAGTCTTAAGAAGAAGATAATGATTTTTCTTTCCTAGCATTTGCTAGACATGTTACCTCTTCTTTAGTTTCAGTAGTTAAAAAGTATTATGGATAATTAAAAGTTTGCAGAATGAACATACAATACCAAATACAATAGAATGTCTCACTATTCTGGATCCAAAAGGTAACAAACATCTTTTACAACATCTTTACCTAAATGTATTTTGAATACAAATGCCTTATCATATCATACCTTGCTACTGAACAGTGAACTAGGCAGTTCTAGACTCTTGGACCATCTCAAGTGCTCAGAACCCATGCACCCATTACGCCTGTGCCCTAATGTAGTTGGTGCAGGATTCTCTTGATTCTCCCTTCTGTTCCCAGCTGTAAGAGCTATTGGATTATCATATTAAATCATAAATTAGTGAATATTTAGGAAGCTTCATTTTCTGAGTGTGATATATCTTAAGGTGCTATGGTTATATTTTTTAATTGCTAAATGACCTTGAAATCTAAATACTTTCAAACTCAAATATAACAGCAATCATAATAATCTAAAAGTACTAACAAAAAGAATATGTTACTGCTTACATATGCCCTTTCAACTCTTCCTTGTCCTGAATTAGAAGAGGTTATGAAAGACTGTCTTTCTAAACATTCAGAAGATACTGAAAACACCTTTAGGAAGCAAAACTGCAAAGAGAACTGTTTTGAGATGCTGAAATAGATCTCCCATTTTTAATATATGTCTTACTAGGTGCCCTAAGACAGTGGAAAACTTCTGTGTTCACAGCAGAAATGGTTATTATAATGGGCATACATTTCACCGTATAATTAAGGTAAGTTACTGCAAATTTAATATGATTTAAGGAACAGTACGTTACTGTATAACAAAAGCAGAATAAACATAAGGAATCTTATTCTCTCAATTACTAGTGAATTAAAAAGGAATAGGGAAAAATGGACTGTGGAACCCAAAAAAAGAATGGGTGGTCATGAAGATCAGATCTACAAAGACAAGAATAATAATGCAGTTACCTTTTTAGAAACACTGCAACAATATGTTGTCAGCAATTAAATCAAAAGGTCAGATAATGAATAAAAGGTCATGCTGAGATGAAAAACAATAGAGCAGAATGAACTCAGCCCAGATTTTATTGAGCTGCATGCCATAAAATGGATGTGGTAATTGGCTACTGACAGGTGAGAAATGGAAGGAGAAATGTTTGGAGAAAAACTCAGATTTCAGGATTCGAAAGTAATTACTGAAATGACTCACCAGGAAATCCATAGTGTTTAGGGAAAAGGAGAAAAGAAGAGTGGGGCAATTACATAACACCCGATATACTATACAGATCCTAAAACTTATTTACACTATTAATTGGTTTTAATTAGATTATTGGGAAAGATAGTACATGTCTATATATAAATGAGAAGATCTTTGCATTTTGGTTTCAACCATTGAAATAAGGTAGCAATGGAAGTACATCATCCAAATTAGAGCACAACTTACTAAGAGTTTAATAAAACTGCTTTACAATAAAATGACTGTTAAGACAGTTTAAAATTCAGAATACAAAGAACTCTTGACAAACATAAGACTCAAATGTATTCATATAAAAAAAGGACTGTAATATGTTTTTTTGTATACTTTCTGTTAAGGGCTTCATGATTCAAACAGGAGATCCAACAGGTACTGGTATGGGAGGAGAAAGCATATGGGGAGGAGAATTTGAAGATGAATTTCATTCGACATTACGACATGACAGGCCATATACACTCAGCATGGCCAATGCTGGATCGAATACTAATGGATCCCAGTTTTTCATAACAGTAGTACCAACGGTAAGTAGAAGAGCATGTCTATAAGCCAAAGATCCATTGGTTATAATCTAAGACAGTGAGGTTTAGTAGGAGAGAGCGAGCTGCATTAATTTGAATTTAAGCCAATTTTGCCATTACTAATTGTATAATCCAAAGCAAATTATTTCACCTCTGGGCCAATTCTCTCTTTAGAATTGGGAAGATAGAGTATATGAACTCTTGTTTAGGACATTTCTTTTTCCACATTTTTACATCTCTGAAATCAGAATGCAACCCATAATCAATGGCATTGTAAATTTGATGAAATATAGTATAATAATATCTAGTGCTATTGCTGTGTAGTTCCACAAAATTATAAACTTTATTGTTTGGAATTAACCACCAAGCAATGAAGGAAAAAGTTACACTTACTATCTTCTAGGAATATAGTCTCATATAATATTCACAGTACTTCCAGTATCACCTAAAAACTTACGAGGAAAACAGTGAGATACTATTAACTTAGCAAAGGTCAAGTAGCAGAGCTATCATTTGAACTCCCATCTTGAGCCAAAGCACATGTTGTTTAACCTGTTCCACACTGCCTCTGAGTTGTCCAGATAGGATTCCTACAGGGGAATTTAAAGCCTTAGTCATAATTCTGTAAGCCATACAAAGAAACTTGCCTTTAACAAACATCTAGTTCCCTTTGGTCTGAAAGATGCAGATATTTAAACATTATACTGTGCTTTTATATTTTTTCTTATAAACACAAGTCATCAACGTTAAACCTAAGTGAAATGACTGTACATCTTTTTTTTATATTAAAGTGAAGCATAAATTTAAATTTTCTTTAATTTGCTCACCCAGAGGGTGTGATTTAAGAAATCCAGGTTTATCAAGATTTTCCATTTGTCCTCCAATACAGCCTTGGCTTGATAATAAGCACACGGTATTTGGAAGAGTGACCAAAGGAATGGAAGTTGTACAAAGGATCTCCAACGTCAAAGTCAATCCCAAAACAGATAAGCCCTATGAGGATGTCAGCATCATAAATATTACTGTCAAGTAAAATAAGAATTGTTTTACAGTATGTGTAAATAAAAATGCACATATATTAAACAGGATTATTTTACATTACGAAGCTCTGAAGACTTGCTGAACATATATTTCAAAGATGCAGTATTATATATTTGTATTTTCATTAAAGGCCATTTTTTAAAATTCTGATTTTGATTTTTTTTTGCAGTATTTCTCATCCTAGGAGACAGTAAAATTGAAATGGATTAAACTCTGGCAAATAGCACTCCATATATGTAATTTCTCATGAGATTCAAAACCATATTAAATAATGAGTGGTATGCATTCGATCCTTAAGATGTTTAAGAACATGCCAGGTAATCTGTCCTTGTATTTCTTTAGACCCACTAGGAAGGTTACCAGGACCTGAGAGAGTAACAAGCTATTTCCTATCATTTACAAGTTTCATGCCAAATAATTTTGTCTTTTGATCATTGACACAGTGGTAAGTTAGTGGTAAAAAAGTTCAACAAATAGGGAGTCCCGTTGGTTGAACGTGATGAATTCCTTACCAGTTACGAAATATTCTTTCAAATATAAGAATCCAAATAAATGAATACCTGAGTCTTTGGTTTTATGTACAGATTCATTTATTATTTTCACATTATTTTTCTAATGTAACTAAATAATTTTCCTGTTCTCAGGTCATATCTTACCTTATTAAATATACCATCAAGAAAGTATATATTGAGTAAAAATTTTAGTATCTAATAATGGAAAGATTAATAGAAATTTGGAGCAATAAAACAATGAGGCCAAAGTCTTGTACTGATTTCATTTCTTCTTTTACCTTTATAACTTTATATAATAAGAACCATGGCTTTCCAGAAAGAAACCACTAGTTTCCAGACAGATTCTTAAAGAAGTTCTGGGAGAAACATGTTCAACAGACCTGTTTGGGGAATTCACATTCTTACACTTGAAATCTAAGTTTACATTTTTTCTTCTATTGATCTGCAGGATTACTTCCTTTATCCATTTTGCACCACAAACCCTTGTGTAATAGAAAGTGTTTTGTGCTGTGTTAATAGTCATCCTTTTAAAAAGGAGTACTTAAAGTTGGACATAAAATTACTTTACACTCTTAACATTTACCTTTTCTTCCTAATTTTAGGTGAGACTTTTCTACAAAACAATTTATTCATTCCTAAAGGCTTAATCCTAAATCCTGTATTTTAATCCTGAACTTTTGGTAGTACTGCCACCAAGTGGTGGTGATGCCTCATTCCCCCAAAGTACAATTTTGCTTTGAGAAGTACATTTGATTAATGATTTTTTCCATTCCATGTCACAAGATATACAATAGAAGACCTAAAAACCTACATTGCCAGATGTCTTTTTTAAGGTATGTTTTAAATTATTAGCAAGATACCAACTGATACTTACTAATTAGTCCTTTTCATTCATTACTCTTTTAGGAAAAGGTATAGCAGTCTTCTATATTAGCACTTTGCAATTTGAGAATTATCTCAACATTACATAGAAAGTCTTCTCTCTTGGCAATATTAGTTCATACTGTAGCTAAGTTTACCAAGCTATTTTCTAAAACAGTTACTTAAAATGTTATGTTCTTATAAGAAACATTTAAAAGGCAATAGTTTCACTTTGTTAAATGCAAGATTTTAGCTCTCCTTTCAAAATACTGTTTAACTCATGTAAGTGTGACTTACACTGAAATACAGAGTAAGTTATTTCTAAATCTTAAACTAAATGTCAAATTCAATGTGCTAGGGAATCACTACCCTATTTATTATTTCTCCTAATCAGAGCACAAATAATAGCTTTTTGTTTTATTTAACAAAGTTACTAGAGGTTTCAAGACAATTTTTAGAATAATATGACTTTAAAATGGTTTTAACATTTTATTGCTGTCTGTACTGATCATATACATAATGCAAATAATGGCTTCCGGTGATGATAAAAGCATTCCAGAATTACAGACCAGGCTATACAGTTGAAAAACCTGCTTTACATAAACCATACAATAATATTTAGGTTTAATACAGAAATTTGGAGCAAGGTGAAAAACCTTAGTAGGTAATACTTAAAATGTCTCCCGTTCTTAAATTTGATATTTTCCAGTGGGAACTAGTACAATCTTAACTAATGATTCGTAAAAGAACATAACCACAAGTAGTAATAAGAGCCTCAGAAAAAGACTTCTTAAAAAAAAATCACAAACATTACTATTATGTACGTTATAGGTCTAAGCACAATTTTTAAATTGTGTTTAGTAATATGCTAAGAATGCAAATTACAAAGTTTACCAAAATTGGTGAAATAATTTACAAGAAGAACAAGTTTACATGTTAGTGTTAGACTTTTTTCAATTACCTAGTAGAGAAAACAGTTCAAGGGCTCACAGGCAAATGTAACACCTCTTTTGTTTTTCACAGTTAATGCAATCAGTCAAATATTAAATAATTTAATTCAGAAGTATGTACTTGTATGCACAAGCTACACTACAGCATGACCTTTCACTTGAAAATATAGGACAAAATATATTTACTTATTTACACACTGCCCATATAATACTGATGGACTTTTTTAATGCTTTCTTTTCTAAAAGTTTTACTGTTTTTAAAGCAAACAAAAATACATTTTTTAAAGAGACTAAACCAAAACAGTGCCACCTAAGAATCACATCTTGTCATCAGACATCAATGTCCAAATAGCAGTTCAACTAATAAGACTTAGGATTCAACTTCATCCTAAAGTATAAAGAGCACTAAAAAAAATCCATAAAATCCAATCTAGCTATTTTTAAATATAAATTGTACTGCCATAATAAGGGAGTGTTCTTAAAAAAATGAAAGACAGTAAAGCACATAATTTTCAAACTTTTCTCACAACACTGCTTAATAAACGTGATGTAAATTTTAAACATTTCCTTACTCAGATATGTCCTCTCAAGTAATGTCAAGGCCTGTCACAAAGAGCTTTGATTACTGTTTAAATAAATGCACTTCTTGGGGAAAAGATTTTGAAGTAATTGATGTAATAACTGTTCACTGCTTAAATGGCTTCTCTTAAAGTAGTTTTCTACTTAGACCTCTATATGTAAAGTCAACCCTGGGATGTGTAACTTACTACATTCTACCTACAGTCATTCCCATGGAGTCAATATTATTTTTAAAACAAACACTAGGAAGTGCTTTAAATATGTTGAAAAACAGAAGGACCAATTTAGAGCTCTGATCTAGGAAATAATACATCCAGGTTCAGCCCTGAAAATAGGTCTTCCATAAGTGAAGATCAACTAGAACATAACTGCCTTTCACAGTTTTGTTAGTTCTTCATTTGAGTAGTATGTGATGGCCCTCGTTTGGTAACATTTCATTCTGACTCACTGGGTCAGAATTGGTTTCATACAAAAGGCTTTAGGAGAAAGTTTTAATAAAACACTGTATAAAATACTAATTTCTATAACTTATACTTCTTAGCATTAAAGGTATTATGTTATACGGAACATAAAAGTAATCCTATTACCCAAAGATGCATTTGAATTTAATTAAATTACTGCTGTTTTTGCTACTAAATACTGCCAAAATCCAGTGAAAAGGCCAAGTTAAAGCAGCAGCTATGCTTCACTTGCTTCACACTGAGGTTCCTCCGGACACTCAGTTGGGTATTCTTTTTTCATTGAAAGAATAAACCTTCACCTACCCTTTCTCTGTGACTACTACTTTCCCAACATATGGGTAACATATCATCTGGAAAACTTAACAAATTATGTTTTTAAAAAAATGTATTCTCAAGAAGTTCCTATTTAATGCAATCTAATCTGCTCAGATATTTAAATTTTGCTACACAATTTTTTAAAAGCAATGTTGTACTGGATTTGTAGTCCGGGATGCCTTTTAGATACATATCCTAGATTAACTGTCTTTAACATGTAGAATTTCTTACAACATATTATGTGCAAAGTAACTCTTAACCACAAAACCTTAAACAACTGCCACATTTAAAATCAAGCAACATCCAATACTCCAGCAGCCACCAGCTGCCGTGAAAGCCAATCCAACCCTTCATACAGTCCCATACCACTTCGAGCATCACAGCCCTGAATGTACCAGCTACGGCCACAGCACAATTTATGGAGACTGAGAAGTTCAGTGATTTCGTCTACTGACAGAGCTCCAGCAACATCCTGAAAGGTAAGTACACATCAGAATTTTTTTTAATCAATCCATCAAAATTACCATTTTTCTAATTACTACTACTTATGCTATATATATAGAATTCCATTAGTATCATTCCAACGGAAGCCTAAGCTAAAGTTAAAACCTAGATTCACTTTTCAGTAACTAGTCTGAGAGTAGTAAGAAAAGACCAAATCAGAGGTTTGGTTACAATCATTTTTTTAAATTTCTACTATACCTAGTTTGCAAGACACTGAGGCCATGAGCATAAAGGATAGATGCTGCCTGACTGCCAACTTAAAAGAGAAAGGAATTAACACATGTAGGTCATAAAAAGTGCCTTATATATATATGTAGTTTATACAATGACATTTAATTAAACTCCCAGTCCACCCCTGAACACTCCTACTTTCCAGAAGCAACCACCAATAACAATTTCCTTCAGAGATGTTTTTCCAGAAAATTTCTATATGCATTCAGGCAAATAAACATAAACAGGAACATACTCCAGTTTTCTTGTTTTTTACTTAATATGTATTTGAAGACAGGTATCTTTCCATTATCAGGACAAGCAGATTTTCAACATTATTTTTACCGCCTGAATTATATTCCATTACATAGGTGCAAGCATAGTTTTCTTAACCGGTCCTACACTGAATATTTAGAATGAGTTGTGTGCTTATATGGCATTATAGATACATACATATACATATATATATATTTTACATACATTTGCAAAATTATCTGTAGGATAACTTAGAATATTTGTCCACAAAATACATTACTAGAGGTAGAATTGCACCAAAACTTTGACAGATTTGGTACAGCCAAATTGCCATCCAAGAAGATATCTCAGTTTAATAACCATACCAACAGTGTATGTGAGTTTGAGGATTATCAAATATTTTTGTCCTTAACAACATGATAGTTGGAAGATGGTACTTCACTTTGCCTTATTTACATGTCTTTAATTCTAAGTAATGCAAAGTGCATCAGCTGTTACTGGTGTGCTTTATTATTAAGGGGAAAATCCTTTATTCTTCATTCTACTCTTTCTTCTTATGACATCTAAGCCCCTCTAGTGCATGTAAAAGTGTTCTCATCTTCCAAGAAGCTTAGACTCAAGATCTAGCAATCTTCACCTATTTCCCGTCCTTCATCCTCCCCACTCAGCCACCAAATTCTAACAACTCTACCTCCATAAAGTCTCTTCAATCTGCTTCCATTCTTCTAATTCTCTATTTTAGTATCTTGTTAACTCCTACTTGAATTACTGCAGCAATTTACTGCATCTGCCTGTCTCTAGTTCCTTGCCCTTGATTAATTCTACCTCCTTACCCCAGGATTATAGTCTTAAAACACTGATATGATCTTATCACCAACTAGTCCAGGAATTTTTTGACGGTTCTCCTTTGCTCATAGAATGAATCTAGATTTCTCAGATTTCTCAGTCTGGACTTCACAACATGGCCTTATATGTCATTACAGATTTTCTTCATCCTCTACCTGCCCTTCACATATAAATCTGCTTGATGCTCCCTAAAAATACTCATGTTCATATTTTCTCTGCCTGCAATGTTCTTTCCTTCACATACTGACTCCCAGTCTTATCCATAATTTTAACTGATCATAATTTCAACTCAAATCCTACTTTTTACAAATCTTGTAAGATGCCACCTTTAGAACTACTCTCTCTAGTTTCCTATTACATTTTGTCAATATAATTGAAGTTACCTCCTAATTTTCTTTGTATTAGAATCTCATATATATTCACTTACATGTTTATATCCACACATAGTTTCTGGTGAGCATCAACTACCTTATTTCTTTCTGTATACTCCAAGGTACCAAGTACAGTACTCTCCACATAGACTATACTCAAAACACACAGCAGAAACTTCATAAGTATCTACTGAATTATTTCTCTCAAAATCTTTCCAGCTACCTTATGACATGCAGTGAACAAAACTACTAAAATAAGTATTCTGAAATATAAATGTGTTACCTGTTTATTAGCAAAAATCAGAAGCAAAGCATCTCGGAGTTCTTTTTCTGTTAACAACTTTGCAAGTTCATTGTGTGCTTCACTAACTCTGTCTCTGTGACTGCTATCAACAACGAACACAACAGCTACCCAAAAAAAGGCAATAAAAATATTCAATTAGTTATTATTAAGCTTTGGTATTAATATTTGGTTAATACACCAAATATTTTAATGCTCCCATTATTATATCATGGTTAGTTACTCTACCATCAGTATTTTCACAGCAAAGGTGCTAATGATCATAGACACTTAGCAATAATTAACAGTATGATCTCAAGTAATTCACATAACTTCAGCTTTCATTTCCCTACTTAGAATTACATTTGCTCTACCCAACACAAATTGTGGTGTATAATAAATTTTTCTCTAATGAAAACATAGTTCTCATGATCTACCTGCTGATGCTACTTGTTCTTCGATTACTTCTTCCTTTACCAAAAAAATAGTCTTTTAAAAATAAGTCAGTCACTATCTTTCTCTCTCCAAAGCAGAGAGACAGCTAGGTGCCTACTAATATTTAAATGTACAGAAGTATTTAATCAATGCTGAATTATCAATGCACTGAAAACTGGCATAAAAATCTGAAAAATTAGGATGTCATTTTTCACTTACCTTGGGTATTGAGGTAATAATGTTTCCACAATGGTCTTAATTTGTGTTTTCCACCTACATCCCAAATAGTGAACTTTAGATTTTTGTATTCTACAGTTTCCACATTAAAACCTGTTTTTAAAAAAAATCACTTTAATACTGAATGTATATTTACAAGTGACACACAAAACACAGGCAATCCTGTTTATAATTATGACTTACAAATTATCTCCATACAGCAGTATCTACTGCTGCCCAGCTGACTCCACTCCTAATACAAACCTACAAGGGAATATATACCTTTAATAGCTATTAGCCCTCTAAACCTCCACCAGGGTCCTGAAACCCAAGTACCTACCACCTTTACCATTACCACCTCCTTACCCATAACCCTCAACCAGGGTCACCAATCCTAGATTTTCTCCAACTGTACCACTGGTACTTTACTCTTTCGTACTATCCTACATCCATATTTCAATTCCATGGCCACTGGATCTTAACATTTTTTTCTCTGGAATGCTGATGTCTTACAGCCAGAAAAGAGCCCATCTCCATGCCAAACTGGTATAATACAAGAAGGAACTCAGCTGTAAATTAGGCTTTGTCTATCAACTATCCATTAAGGTAAAAAGCAATACTTGTACTTACCAATTGTTGGAATAGGCTGCATGAACTCATCCTGTTTTAACTTAAACAAAATAGTAGTTTTTCCAGCACCATCTAATCCTAATGTAACAACTCGAATTTCCATTTTGGGTCCAATGTGAACTCTATTGTCCTACAATTTTTTAAAATTTAAATATTTTAATTTTGATATGGAGTTAGAAAGTATTAGCATTTATACTTTTATTTACAAAATACCTATGTTAATTATTTCATCTTCTACTCAGTCCTCAACCCACTGAAATCTGAGTCATATTCCCCTGTTAAAATACTCTCAATCTGAACTTCCCCAGAGAAATGAATCACACTTCATTATTAAATCCCCACTTACTAAAATTGACTACTTTGTTTCTGTACAGATTAAAAAAATACAGATACCTACTTAATCCTCTCACATTTTCTAGCTTAATCAAATCTTTAGATAACATTTTTATGCTATGCTAATAAACATATTAATTAAAAACAAAAACTGATGCTCATGTCCAAGAAATATCCAGTTACTAATTTCACATGTATCCCTCAAAACAATATCCCATGCATACACTGGCTGACAAACCAACAATATACTTTTGTAAAAAAAAAAAAGTAAAAGAACATACACACTGTAGCTTTTTACACTCAACAGTACATTATAGAAACCTTTCATTTCAAAACATACAGACCTACTTTTTTCTTTCAACTACTCCATTATATTCCATGAACCATAATTTAACCAATACCAACTGACAGATGTTAGGTCATCTCTGACTGTTTGATACTACAAATAATGCTTCAATGAACATACCTGTGTATATTACTGGCAATATAACCTTTGCCTCACTTCTCCCATCTATATTAAATGAGGATAAAAACAGTACCAAAATGTACTTAGGATTTTTGCAAGGATTAATTTTTTTAAGAGATGTATAAAGGTCTTTACAACAGTTCCTGACATATGATAAAAGCTATATGTGTCAGCAATTATTATTTTGCTTCCTTATTTGAGCACTTTTCTCATCTTTTATGATATAAAATTTTCCCAGTTTCACCCCATCTTTTTAAATGATCCCTCTCATTTTCCTTTTATACGCCTCTTAAATGTTGGTATCCTTCAGAGTCTGTATGAGAGCTGTTTCTCATTCTACATATTCTCATTTACTTCATACACTTTTATTACCTTGTATATGATGATGGCTGTCAAATTCACACTTCAGTCTAGTCCTAAGGCTCAGAAATAAAAATATATGCACCAGAACACCTTGGTGAGAACTCCAGAGACCAGCGACGAAGCTATGGCACCCAGGCCAACATAAAACTAAGAAGGGATTTCAGCAAAAGGAGCAGAAAAATTCACAGAATTCTGTACATCCATCTGTGACCCACCCCTACCTGGCATATTGTACAAACTGGGAGGAAAACTCCTACACCAAGCTCTTTCCTCAGGACAGAAACCAAAAGAATGGACTAAGCATTTGATGTTCTGGCTTATCTGGGGGCTGCCCTAGAGACTGGTTTCTGTCTTGCCCGACTTTAACATTTCAGGGGCCAGTGTCATAGTTTGGAAGCCACTGGAAACAGGCAAGGATGTGGCACATCAGAGCTATAGTTCCACAGAGAGACACCACAGGGAACAAGAGCTTACTGACTTTGAGAAGATAGAAGCAAGCTGCTTAGGGAATTGAGACATGGAAAAGCACATGCACAAATCCAGAGAAGACACATCCTCAGAAAAGTTTTGAGAAGTCCTATAATCTCTAGTTGAGCTGACAGGCAAAGGTCTTCCCAGGCAGGAAAACAGCCCATTAAGGCTAGAGAGTTGGTGTATTTTCAAAAACTCGAATCTCAGCAAAAGGTCACAAGACATGCAAAGAAACAAGGAAACATGGCTCAATCAAAGGAACAAAATAAAATTTCAAAAACTAACCCCAAAGAAATTCAGATCTGTGAGCAGCCAGACAAAGAATTTAAAATAACTGTCACAGAGATGCTCAATAAGCTAAAAGCCCACAGACAAGTAAACAATGTTGGGAAAGTGATGAATGGACAAAATGAAAATATCCACAAAGAATTAAACTTCAAAAGAATTAAAGACAAATTCTAAAGATGAAAATACAGTAACTGCACTGAGAAGTTCACTACAAAGTTTCAAAAGTATACTTCATCAGGCAGAAGAATCAGCAAACTCAAAGACAAGTCATTTGAAATCAGAGAAGAAAAAAGAAAAAAGAATGAAGAAAAGTGAAGAGAGCCTAAGGGACTCAATGAGATGGGGAAGCAGACCAATATACACAGTCTGTGAGTCCCAGAAGAAGAAACAAAGAGGCAGAGGGAACCTCCTTGAATAATGGCTAACTGAAAACAAAAACAAATGAATAAACAAACAAACAAAAATCAAGAAACTGACTCATAAATACAGAGAACTGGTGGTTGCCAGAAGGGACAGTAGTGGAAGGGATAGGCAAAATCGGTGAAGGGGATCAAAAGTATAAACTTCCAGTTATAAAATAAATAAGCTATGGGGATGAAAGGTACAATATACGGAGTATAGTCAATAATACTGTAATAACCTGGTATGGTGACAGATGGTAACTACCCTTATTATAATAAGCATTTTTGTAATGTATAAATGTTGGATCACTATACTATGCACTTGAAACTATTATATTACATCAGCTATACTTCAATTAAAAAAATAAAGAATGTCTGAAAACTTCCCAATCTGAGGAAAGAAATGGACATAAAAATTCTAGAAGCTCAATGCATTCAAACTAGGATAAATCCAGAGACCCACACTGAGACAATTATAATTAAACTGTCAAGGGCGGAGCCAGGATGGCGGCGTGAGTAGAGCAGTGGAAATCTCCTCCCAAAAACACACAGAGCTATGAAAATATAACAAAGAAAAATCTTCCTAAACTAGAGAACACAGGACACAGGACAACATCCAGACCACATCCACACCTGCAAGAACCCAGCGCCTTGCAAAGGGGGTTAAGATACAAGCCCCGGCCCGGCGGGACCCGAGCGTCCCTCCCCCCGGCTCCCGGAGGGTGGAAAGAAAACGGAGCGGTTTTTTTTTTTGGCGAGTGCTTTTTGGAAGCCTTAAAGGGACAGGGCCCCGTTGCTAGGGAGGCAGGGTGGCGGGACCGGTGAGCGGGTGCCTGGGACCGGCACCTGAGGACAAAGAATATCCCGCATTTTTCCCTGCGGGACCGGTGGGCGGGTGCCTGACACCAGCGACGGAGGATGGAGGAAATCGCGCGTTTTTCCCCTTTTTTTTTTCTCTTTTTGGCGAGCGCTTTTTGGAAGCCTTAAAGGGACAGGGACCCCGGTGCTAGGGAGGCAGGGCGGCAGGGCTGGTGAGCAGGTGCCTGGGACTGGCGCGTGAGGACAAAGAATATCCTGCATTTTTCCCTGCGGGACCGGTGGGCGGGTGCCTGAGACTGGCACCTGAGGACGGAGGAAATCGCGCGTTTTCCCCCTTTCTTTTTTTTTTTTTCTCTTTTTGGCGAGTGCTTTTTGGAAGCCTTAAAGGGACAGGGACCCTGGTGCTAGGGAGGCAGGGCAGCAGGACCAGTGAGCGGGTGCCTGGGACCGGCGCCTGAGGACAAAAAAAAAATCAAGTGTTTTTTCTTTTTTTTCCTTTTTTTTCCCCCTGTTCCCTCTCTCATTGTTGCTGTTGTTGTTTTGGTTTGGAGAGTGCTTTTTGGAAGTCTTAAAGGGGCAGGACAGGTCACTTAGACCAGAGGCAGGGAATCTGGGGATCTCTGGGCACTCTAACCCCCTGGGCAGCAGGGAGCACAGAGGCCCCTTACGGAGATAAATAGCCTCCTGGCCGCTCCCCATCCAACGGGGCTCCACCATTTTGGAGGAACAGCCCCAGCCAGGCCAAGCCCACAGCAACAGCGGAGATAAACCCCAAAGCAACTGGGCAGGAAGCAGAAGCCCTGTCTGCGCACAGCTGCCCAGCACAAGCCACTAGAGGTCGCTATTCTCCCAGGAAAAGGCTACAAACCAACAAGAAGGGAAGCTCTTCCAGCGGTCACTTGTACCAGCTCTGCAGACTATCTCTATCACCATGAAAAGGCAAAACTACAGGCAGACAAAGATCACAGAGACAACACCTGAGAAGGAGACAGACCTAACTAGTCCTCCTGAAAAAGAATTCAAAATAAAAATCATGAACATGCTGACAGAGATGCAGAAAAAAATGCAAGAGCAATGGGATGAGATGCAGAGAAAAATGCAAGAGCAGTGGGATGAGATGCAGAGAAAAATGCAAGAGCAGTGGGATGAAGTCCGGAAGGAGATCACAGATGTCAGGAAAGAGATCACAGAAGTGAAACAATCCCTGGAAGGATTTATAAGCAGAATGGATAAGATGCAAGAGGCCATTGAAGGAATAGAAGCCAGAGAACAGGAACGTATAGAAGCTGACATAGAGAGAGATAAAAGGATCTCCAGGAATGAAACAACACTAAGAGAAATATGTGACCAATACAAAAGGAAAAACATTCGTATTATAGGGATACCAGAAGAGGAAGAAAGAGGAAAAGGGATAGAAAGTGTCTTTGAAGAAATAATTGCTGAAAACTTCCCCAAACTGGGGGAGGAAATAATCGAACAGACCATGGAATTATACAGAACCCCCAACAGAAAGGATCCAAGGAGGACAACACCAAGACACATAATAATTAAAATGGCAAGGATCAAGGACAAGGAAAGAGTTTTAAAGGCAGCTAGAGAGAAAAAGGTCACCTATAAAGGAAAACCAATCAGGCTAACATCAGACTTCTCAACAGAAACCCTACAGGCCAGAAGAGAATGGCATGATATACTTAATGCAATGAAACAGAAGGGCCTTGAACCAAGGATACTGTATCCAGCACGACTATCATTTAAATATGATGGTGGGATCAAACAATTCCCAGACAAGCAAAAGCTGAGGGAATTTGCTTCCCACAAACCACCTCTACAGGGCATCCTACAGGGACTGCTCTAGATGGGAGCACCCCTAAAAAGAGCACAGAACAAAACACACAACATATGAAGAATGGAGGAGGAGGAATAAGAAGGGAGAGAAGAAAAGACTCTCCAGACAGTGTATATAACAGCTCAATAAGCGAGCTAAGTTAG